CACGAAATGTCTTTCTTTTTGCCCCCCCCCCTCCTGTCTATGTCTCAAGCACGATCCCATAGCTGAGTATTCCTCAACCCACGTTCTGTCTTGCATTGGACACAACCCATATGGGGCAAAGAGACTGGGATAAGCCTTTCAATGGGCACTATCCGTTCAAGTCGCTCTCAACAAAAGCTAAATATGGTTTATACTCCAAACAAATTCAATAATATAATGTCAATGTTTGTGAGAAGTACAAATAACTTCACGAGAATGTAATCCAGGAGGACACGTACACGGTGTGGCATAAATATGGTGACATGATTAAACTTCAATAAACGCTTTTGCACAATGATGAACACGGCTTCTGACTATACCATCAGTCTCGCCATAGTCTTTTACATATTATGCTGTGGTTTCCTGGTTCCACTACTCCCCTTCTTCTGAGACTATTGGTTTCTTGTCTAATAAGCTTCAGGTGAGTTCCTTTCGAGATCTGCTGTAGCCGAAGGATGCATCGCCAGACTGTCATCCGACTATCTAGTGAAGTACAATAAGTTATGTTTGGTAGAAACCGACCGATTACGGAAGCGAAGAGAAATTGTGAATATCAGCGAAGAAGGTATTCGGCCCAGTTTAGTAAGGGTTATGGAAATACTGGTTACAAGCTTTGACAATATCAGGATAAACGAGAAGAGTTGAGCATAGTAAGCGTAGAATACAAACCTGTAAACACCACGAATGGTATGCTCTCTTGGATGAGCAGAGGGAATTTAGAGTTAGAAAATGTCGAGGGCTTCTGTCGGTGGCCGCCAACATGACCAATAGGAATACCGATCTGAAATCAAGATCTTTTTGTGTGTGATAGCTATTAGTTCAAGAAAACTAACTACTGAAGCTCTGGAGAAACTAGCAACAGGGTGAACGGCTATGAAACGTAACTTGCTAGTTTAGCGGTGAATAGAACCAGAGTAGCCGCGATTTCTTCTGAATCCTACGCCAACAGCTATCCAAAGTGCAATTTCAAAAAGGCTTGTGGTAAGCTATACTGTTTGTCAGGCTTGGGTTCAGTGGCAGGGCGCTGTGTTTGGTCACGAACTGGATTTTGTTAAGGTCTTTTGTCACACTCTCGTAGCTCACGTGGAAGCGGCTCGTCCACTTCATCCATCACTCCCTCCCGCTCCAAGCACGGTGTCGTCTGCTAGAAGTGTCTGGTTCCCACGGCAGACTATTGCCTCTCCTCATGGCTACCACCAACGAACGCCATTCAATCGGCACCATCGAAGCCTAACTTTCATCGCCTACAACACATCAAATCGAGTTCGAAACAGCCATGAAGAAGATTGGGCGTCTTTGTGGAGTGACGGGATCCATGATAAGAGGCTAAGGTAGCTGAATACTAGACATGGATTACATATGATTAGTGAAACGAAGAAGACGAGGACACCCTTACACTTGATGGCGCGACGAGCTGACGAAGAAGACCGGGCACAATTGGTGCAGTATAATAAATGCAGAATCCAGGCAAGCACGACACGGCGTTCAAACATAGATTCACTTACACTTGACAACACTTATTGTCGTGACAGCCACGACCTGAAGTAAAGCGCTCAAGGCAAGCAAATAGAGGCAGAGCAAAAAACCCTATCCAAACTCGCGTCAACCTCGAAGCGGTGCAGGACCTGGTGCCTGCGCGCTTCAAAATCACGCGCCAACCATGCCACGTCACTTCAGTCACCGCCATTGCATCATGACAGTCGGTTGTCTCTCGCCTCTGTATCCAGTTGATCCCTTTTCATAGCTTATTTCGCCATTTCATAGCGATGTGTTAGCTCGCCGTCTTATTATTACCTGAAGGTTAAATCACTGCACATTCTATTAGATCTATAATGTCTACTCGCTGGGAACCCCCTCTTCTAATCCAACTTTAGTGTTTAGACTTCTTCGTCTAGCTTAGTTTTACAGTGAGTTCGCACCCACAGTCTCACCTTAGTTTTCTGTAGTAATTCTTAGCATGTTGTTATTCACTGCCTTTATTAGGTCCACCTCTGCTTTAGTCCTCTTCATAGATTTCATGGTGCATTCATTTAGATGTTTCTCGTTCCTACCAATTCGTATGTAGAGTGTGTTCACAATATTATTTCGCATGTTTACTTCTTCTAGCATATTTACTCGGTCGTTCTACATGAATTAATATAATGTGTAGTTCTTTAATAAAAATCTCAACACAATCACGCCGCGCATCAGTCCGCCACTCTTCTTCGCCACGCCGATTCTAGAGTCCTCTCGGTTTCCTTCTATTACTGGACGGTCGGCATCCTTCGCATCTACGTGGCCATCAGCACGCACCACACGTCAGTTCCTCGGAAGGTCAGGGAAGCAGGCCAGTCTCAAAGGCTCGCATCAGGCACACACATTCAAATCAGGAGCTTTCATGCGCACATACCTTCCTCTTCAGAAGGATTGTGGGCGCCCATTGGACTCTCACGTTTTGCCGCGGCACGAGGATTCACCGATACAATCACCCACTGGTTCGCCTGTCACGACACTTATAAACTTTTAGTCTTCTGCACATAAGAGCCATTGTCCAATGTGGGCCGGACAATGATTGGGTGTGATCGATATCGAAACTGAAGAGGTGGTTGAAACAACACAGTCTAAATGGATCGTTGAATGCTGCTCTTCAGTAAATGGGAGATAGTATTGTGAAAGATGTCATGCGTGCAAGGCCATTTGAAGGGAATTGTCAGGTTTGGACTGCCATGCTTAACGAAAATGTTAACAAGTGTTTGAAGGATATGGCCTTATAATATTGTGGTTGGTACCTCGTTGCGAGTAAGTATTATTAGCCCAACTATTTTGTAAGAATTTTGGGAGTTGAAGGTTATTGTGGTCCTTTTGAACAAGGTTTGAAAGGGCCACAATAATCTTCACCATGTGTACCCCCCCCCCCCATAGATCTAGGCCAATCAAGGTCGTAGTGAAACACTCGATGTCAACTACAATAATGATACCTCGGTTCATGGAAGAAAAAATTTGAGTAGTCAGCCTTTCTCGAGGCCTTCTCCCCTTTAGAACTTCCGAAATTCTAAAAAAAAGTTGAGCTAATAATTAGACGTACGTTATGAAAGTTTCCATGAATTCCCAGAATAAGCTTCTCTGTGCAATGAATTTTTGAAACATTCCTAACCTCCGTATTTGAATTTTCACAACATAATACTTCTCGTTTGACTTCGTTGGAATAATTTTTTTGATTTCCATACGTTTTTGCGATTATAAGGTGGCACGTGTCATTATGCCAGATACTTCACCCTTGTTGGAGAAGCCAAAGCATGGAAAAATTCCAAAGGTCTTGATACGACCCCACATAGCCACCAGCCATCAGCCTTATTGTCCGAAAGGATCCCCCATCCTCTACGCCGACCACTACTCTCACCACCATGACTGTTTCTAGACTGTTTGTTTCTGAGAGGGTCGACACACCCACATAGTCTAACTCCGCCCAGCACCTCACCACTTCTTCCATCCGAGGCGGCCGCCGAAGGGTACCACGAGTCCTTCGAATTCCTCTATTTTGCGCTTCTTAAATTTCAAAAACCATCAGAGAACTCGAATGACCCTTTTTCTACATTAAAAGCATTCCAACTTACATAAAGACGACTTCCCCTCATTCACACTTGTTCACACATTTTTTTTTCTGACAATGGTTAGCCTTTTGCAATTTCATACATGCAAGATTCTTCCCAAGATTGCAAAACGATACCCCTCCCTCGTTTAAATAGATAACGGACAGTTGACCCTTACGCTAAGGCTCGTGCTTACCTCTTCCACACGGGCTGAGCCTCCATAATAAACAATTCCTGTTGCAGTACCTTTGAGATATCAGGTCTCACTGTACCAAAAAGCGATCAAATGTGTTTATTCGACAAGTAAATAAGCAAGAACAATAAACTGTAGGAGAAGAAATAAAAAAAACTCTGAAAACATAGAAGTTCGTGAACAAAATTGCACCTTTTGTATCTGGTGGCTAGAAAGCCCCCACTACAGACATCACAACGCAATTGACGATGGTCCCCAGATAAACTTGTTGGCTAGTAGTTCATAATGGCTGATGGTCAACAATTGATAGCCGTAATTAGCGACAAATTATAGAATACAACCCATACGGCTATCATTTCGTTTACAGAAAACTGCAGCAGTTTGTGGGTGCTGACGTCATTTGCGCTGTGAAGTGTGCAGCAGGATACAAAGGGTATGTACGTAAGCACACTCTCAACTTGTTTATGTATGAAGCTCGTTGAAATTCAGGTAGATCACTGAATGGCTGGCTCACTAGCATTATCTAGAGGAAGATGCTGTGCAAACAATGATATGATGTTAGTAATATCGATAAAATGTCAAGTAGTTTTTTAAAATTTCACAGAATGTCCTTATTCAGTCGATTTTTGCATCAGTAAGGAAGCTTACTATAGAATCACTGGAATGACATCAAAGAGAAATGCAAAAGGTATAACTGTCACAAATTCAAGAATAGAAAACCTAACACAATGAATGGTATGAAAGATTTGGCAGAGTTACAGTAATCCCCTGAGTAACAAACGCAAATCTGGCGATCGCCTACCAGCCGACAGCCGGCTTCCTCTAGATGAGCTCGTCCAAAAGTCCTGAAAGTTCTTTAAATTAAAAGCCAAAATGGTGGGGCACAGAAGACTCAGAGTAAATTCCAAGAATGTTGTGGTAGGAGAATTATCCATCAATCTCGGATCTGGAGGGGAGGGGGTCGTATTTTGCTCAATGTCGTGTTCGCGATTTCAGACGGAAGTAACGGTTTCATTTCAAATGAATTTCTGTTATTATCCCCTCCACATATCGGCAGTGGGCGTGTCTGAGAACCGCGGAAACTATTGAGATGTTCCCAACGCCTTACTACGCCCGCTAGTGCCGCTGAAGTGACCCCTCAGACATGCCTCCACTCTATCCAGTACCCGCCTTCCTGAAGCACCACTAATGTTGGCAAAGGGCTGAGCCGGAGATTGATCCCAGGACCATTCGCACCGTAAGTGAGAATAACGCCACTAAACCACTCAGCCTTTCTCCTTCATGGACATCCGATTCATCGCGATATCAGCCTTTAAGTCAAGGTTCAAAGCACGATTGATTTTTTTTCTGCAGTTCTGTACTACCCCTCTTCTTAAGTGCCCAAGATACTTTCTGACTGAGCTTCCTGCGCTAACATCTTCAGCACATGCAATTTTGCCATTAAGTAAAACGGTGGCATCTCACGTGAACGTCGAAACTTTGGTCAGCTGAAAAACTGCAATAGCACCAGCACACGTAAACACGTAACAGGTGAAAGATAGCCACCCAATGAATTTGACTGGTATCGGAGCACAGACCTAGACCAGACACGAAGACGCATTAACAGCTGAACTTACTGATTTGGAAATGAAATGCTCGATGGGTGAGAGCTTTTTGACAAAATAGTCATCCGTTAGTTTCTGAGCCCAAAGAGAGTAGAAGTGTGGAGCGACTGCCGGCTCGGACTGTCGCACGCACGGGAGATTGGGGGACTCTCAAAGCTGATGGTGATAGGAGGTCGTATCGAGGTTCCTCTGAGAAGGGGAAGTGGGTTTAGAAATTTCGAGTGTTCCCCAAGAGGCCCACCGCGCGACAAACGAACACAACGAACGACGACGACGAACGACGACGACGACGACGACCACGAACTAACGTACGACGTAGTACTACTTAACTAACTAACTAACTAA